TTGGGCACCTAGACCGTCAGATCTGCCCCCAGCATCAGAAGGGCCTGGAGCTGTTCTGTCGCACAGACCAGATGTGCATCTGTGTGCTGTGCACAGTCAAGGAACATAAAGGCCACGACATGGTGTCTGCTGAGCAGGAGAGGGCTGAGGAACAGGTTAGTAAGGCTCTGCTTACACAGACAGCTACTGTGTTCAAATATGGCTCCTGGAAGATCTGTTAGATGCAATGTGCATTAGTAGGTGAACGTGAGTGTTGTTTTTTAACCTGTGCATGTCAAAATATAAAAACATTTTGGAAACTTCCCATTACTTCATTGTCAGAAAAAATGATAAGACAGAATTAAATATTAATATTAAAAATGCTTCTTTAATTTTAAATTATTTTCAAATAATATTTTTTTAAAGCAATTATCTCTTAAATTTAATCTCGCAACTGGACTGTCTGTCTTGTTTGCATAGTAGAACTATTTGCCACAGTAATAAAACCAAACCATTGCTTAAATGGTTTCTTGCATGGTGATGTGTTAGATGTTGCATCAACTAAATTTACAACATAGACAAGAATAAGACCTGTTAAGCTCTGGAGAACACACCCATAGCTACCTGTACCTTTCATACATGATGTTTGAAGTATGACAAAAATCACATTGTTAAACAGCTCATCAAAGTTTATGTTGTTTTATCCCCATAGCAACGACTGGGTGCCACCCAGGCCGAGATCCAAGAGAAAATTCACGATCGTTTAAAGCAAATGGAGGAACTTAAACAGGCCGTGGACTCACTTAAGGTTTGTGCCAGCGTAATTCATCATAGATAAGACCAGACAAACCACTACAGAGACAACATTCCTGCATTATGTAGTGATGACGGCAGCCTTTTGGCGTGCTAGTAAAAATACACCTAGTGACACCCAGGTGATTAATGACACTTCCCCATTTTCCTGTGCAGAACTCAGCCCAGAGAGCACTGCAAGAATGCGAGAAGATGTTTAGCGACATGTTGCGCTCAATTGAAAGAATGCAACAGGAAATGGCCAAGCTGATTTCGTCCAATAAGAGAGCCGCACTGAACAACGCAGAGGGCCACATGGAGAGATTAACTCATGAGATTGCAGATCTGAAGAGGAGGGACACCGAAATCACCCAGTTGTCCAAAACTGAGGACCATATCCACTTTATCCAGGTAAACAGTCATAAACAAACTAACAAAATGTATACAAAATTACATAAACTAAAATTAAACTTCATTTTCTCTTCAGAGCTACCACATGCTCATCGCACAAACAGAAGCTGAAGAATTGCCTACTGTGAGCGTCAATCCTTATTTCAGCTTTGGCCCAGTCACAAAGGCTGTCTCAGAGATGAAACAACACCTGAATGAATTTGGAAATGACGAACTGGTTAAAGTAGCAAAAACAGGTGAGTTTTTTTTTACTTTGTACATCCAAGTTTCACAACAAAAATCCTGGTTGTAAAAACGTTCATGTTTTATTTTTCTAGTAAACAAAATGACCTTCTGCGAACTGGATGATGCTAAAAAAAAGAAATCTCTAAAAGCTGAGGCCGTGAAAGGTGAGTCTGTTAATATACTCAATGTAATTTATATTCATGGGTGCCATCTTCCTGTTATTGCCAACATTTTGAGAACTTTTCACAATTCAAAAATATATTGGTTTAAATTGTTAACTGCTATGGCAACAATCCACATACTGAACTCCATGGTAAGCCTGTCACGATAAATACTATATCGGCTTCTATATTGACTTCTGGTTCTATACACGATAGATGGAACAATATATTCTGGAGGTCAATATTTATCGTGGGAACATTTTCTTTGTACTAGTGTACTACGATAAGATAACTGTAGAATGTTGACTCATTACAGATGCAAACTGAGTGTTTCATTCTGTTATCTTTTTATTGCAGCTCATGTTTATTTTTTAACAACTATACATTTACAACATTTTTTTGGGGAAAATCCTTATCAAGTTAGTCACCTAAATTAATTTCAATATTATTGTTTATCGTCTATATTTTCTTCAGCAATATATTGAACTTCAAAATTTGTTATCATGACAGGCCCAATCCATGGATACTCAATTATTATAGAAGTGTGCTTATTTCAACGAGTGGGTAGAGCATACACTGTGACTCCAGTAAAGCCATACTCAGGAATTTCCTTTGTTTGAATCAGGGCTTTTGTGCAGTACTGTCTGGTGTTTGGCCTGAACTCAACCATAAGTATTCATTAGGGCCTAGTCTGGGGTCCTTCAGTAGCTGCATGGTTAAATGTTTACTTTGATTAGGAAGTCAAACTGCTGGTGCGTTTACAAGAGCACATTCCACTATAATGGACTTTAGCTCAGTCTACTGGTTTGGAACTTCTCCAGTCCATTCAAGAGGCCATTATTTTAGTTTGAATAATGGGAAAAAAGTCAGCAATGTCACTGACAACATTTTCACTCTACTTCTTTTGACAGCTGAAGAAGCCGCCATGTACAGGTCTATGCCAGTGCCAGTTCAAGAGCCTCAATACAGGGATGACTTCTTAAGATGTAAGTTCGCTTTTATTGCTTTTTTTAAAAAGTGTTTTTCTTTATTGCTTGACCCTTTGGCTGACCATAATTCTGTAACTTTTCATCTTAAAATGTTGTTAGCATTCCACAATAACAACCTTTAAAGATGTACTAAGCAACGTTTCTGATAGAGGGTCTGCCACCTGATTGTGTCCATGGAGATATTGCTATGCCTGGAATGTACCACAGCATGGCACTGAACTTATCTATCTCCATGGAGACAAGCAAGTGATGCCACCAAGCCAAGTTTCAGGTCAGGTCTGTATAGAGGCCCTGCTCACAGTAAAAAAGCATCTTTTTAACCAAAAAACACCTGTAATTGAATATGGACAAAAACTTAATTAATGCATATCTGTAGAAGATTCCTGTCAACATAATACAGTCTCCATGGAAACAAACAGATATTCAAACATTATTAATACTTGTGGCATTGCAGATCATAGATCGGACAGACATAGCCGACCGAAGCGGGTGTCCCACCAGCTGTGATAAGCAGAAGACAGACAGGTGACCCCTATTCCCTAAAGTCACTCTCTTTCTATGTGCAGCCAGAGGGTCTTTTTTATTAAAGCAGTTATCAGTAGAAGTTAGTTAAACATCTAACCCAGTGTAAAGAACAATGTCAAACAACAGTGACCTTAGAGGGGGTAATGGTGGAGGGTTGCTCCCAATTGTGCTCATAACAGAGGTTGTTGGTGTTGAATTTTCTCACTGAAATTTGACCTAAGCGATTCAAACCTAAAGTAATCCATTGTTTCCTTCCCAGATGCCTGTGAGCTCAACCTGGACCAAAACACAGCCTACAGACAACTCTACTTATCCAAAGGCAACAAAAAGGCCACCCTAAAGAATGACCCCCAGAACTACCCCGACAGCGCTGCCAGGTTCGACTCACTGCCCCAGGTCCTGTGTAGGGAGGCTCTCGCTGGTGGGGCCTTCTACTGGGAGGTGGACTGGAGTGGAGAGGGAGCAGCCATCGGAATCACCTACAAAGGCATCAAGAGGACAGGCTATGGAGACAGCTGTCGCATCGGCTACAACCGCAAATCCTGGAGCCTCTTCTGTTCTGACACCAGCTACTCAGCCCGCCACAACAAAGATCAGCTGGAGATCAACGCACCTTATTCGTCTCGTATCGGTGTGTTCTTAGACCACGTGGGGGGTACTCTGTCCTTCTATACTGTAGGTGACACCATGTCTCTCATCCATCGCTTCAAGGCCTCATTCAGTGAGCCAGTCTATGCAGGCTTTTGGGTTTGGTACGGCTCTGCTATTAGAATCCTCCAACTGTAATGCAACAACATCATAAAATATGTGATATGCTTTTTTGAAGGACATACAGAACAAAATGTTTTTTTTTCTGAGAATGTATTATGTTAGCTACATGTATATATGGTTTTAATTTACCTACTGGCACAATATTTTTGACTAATCAAATGTGTAAAGTGTGACTTGAGGTGCATGAAGTAATTGAGCATTTATTGTACTTTGTAATTCTTGTAATTATTGTACTTTTTAATGAATAAAAATGTATATCAACTTTCACTCAAAATTAATATTACTTGAATCAGCTTTTCTTAAGGTTGTTAATATAAGATAAACTTAAATTTGTCCCACAGTGTGAAATTACAGTGTTGCAACATAAAGGTCAAGTACAGTAGGAGAATAAGATCATGAAATAAAAATCAAGATCAAGGTAAATTATACTATAAAGATTTACAATACAATAATACAATACAAAAAAACTAACACATCACTCTGCCAGGAGAGTAAAGCTACAGGTAAGGCACCGAAGCATCTGAACATTAAGCAGCTATAACTATGTAAATTGCAGCATATGGTAGATGAAATAAATAAAGATCAGGCAAAGTGAATTGTACCAGTGAAGACTGGTACACAATTAGGAAATTAAGCTTTCATAAAATTATTAGGAATGCAGGGCTAATGTCTTTATAGGCGGAGAAGTGTTGCTGTTGAATGAGATTGACATACATTCTTACTTTAGTGATGTAACGTGATGCATAATACACTGTATATGAATCTTAAACGCGTACCATGTGACAACCATAAGAGTTTTTCTTGTGTAATGATAAAAATGCTGCGCAGACGCGGTGAGAAAAAATAAGTTGAAAGAGACTACAACTAAATTACGCCATCTACTGGTACCAAGTCTGAACTATATTGTCAGTAGAAAGTAGAAAGTATGTTTGGATCTGGTAGAATGATCTGGTATGTAATACCCCGTGACCACGAGAGACTTTTAGCAGATTGGCAACGACTAGACGCAAATTGGAACATGGTTCAATACACAACTGTAATATTTAAGTCAGTGACTGAACTGTACCTGTCTCTGCAGAGGAGCCACATACGCCACAACATGCAGGAGGCGCTGCTCTTGGCGCTATAGGAACCACTGCAACAAAGAACGCCTTGTTTCTAATCGGTGTCATTTCGCCTGCGCACCGCACGAGAAGCGCCGCATTTTGCATCTTCCACATTTAAGTGTGAAGTGTGAAGACACAGGTAAGTCTACTATTACAGTACTGCCTTTAGTAAACACTGCCACTCACCTGCAGCAGTAAATTAACTGTATATACGCAGTAGTACCTGCCCTTCTAGGGGAGTATAACGTATAGCGACTGTGCATTTCACACTATTAATATGAATGGGGCTAACTGTGTTGCTAGCGCTAGCTAACGTTGCCTTGTGGGTTTCCATACCTTAGGCAAAATATCCGTAACTATTGTTTGTCAATTAAGATATAACTTACCTATGGTATTCTTCAGTTTACAACAGTATAGTGTACTTGACGGCCTCTTAAGACTAAAACTTTGGCTAAATCCGCACTTTCTTTGTGTTGTGTTGTTCGTTATACCTGTCACTATGACAACCAACTCATGAAACAAATGGTCACTCTCGTTCTTAAACCTGCAAATAAAACAAGTGAATATGCTACTACACTTAGTCCTTTTCATGCTCAGATTTTAACATATAGAGATGTTCTCATTGGCCATAGTAAAATCATACAAAAAGCAGCAGTTACTTTGATAGCAGAATCACTGGATCGTGAATCAGTTTATCAGTTTTTAACATGAATATTTTGGTTTTGTCTAATGCTCAGATGGCGAATACAAAGGTCCCAGAAGTTCGTGACATAACACGAATTGAGAGAATTGGTAAAACTTTTTAAATTTGTGAATATTCAAGTGAGAATTTTTTTCCCTCCGCTTAACTTTTTAAATTCTCATTTTAGGTGCTCATTCTCACATTCGTGGCCTTGGTTTGGATGATGCTTTGGAGCCAAGACAGGTAAACATAAGTAATGTTTGTCCACAATAAATGCATGCATTCATTAAGAAGTTCAGTTGATTTTTATATGTTGTATTCTGTATCCCTGTAGGTGTCTCAGGGGATGGTGGGTCAGCTGGCCTCTCGTCGGGCAGCAGGTGTCATACTGGAAATGATCAAAGATGGCCACATTGCTGGAAGGGCAGTGCTTATTGCAGGCCAACCAGGCACTGGAAAAACTGCAATTGCAATGGGTAAGGATAAAGGAACTAAGGAATCAACAATACACAGCAATTTTAAATGTCCAGTCATGAATATTACAATTGTTTTTACCTCTCTGTCCAGGTATTGCCCAGTCTCTTGGCCCTGACACCCCTTTTACAGCTCTAGCAGGAAGTGAAATCTTCTCACTTGAAATGAGCAAAACAGAGGCACTGAGTCAAGCTTTCAGAAAAGCTATTGGCGTCAGAATTAAGTAAGATTTCAAATTAAAATGGCAAATAACCTATTTTAACAGCAGTATTCAATGTGTTTGTGTGTTAATTTTGTGTCTCACAGGGAGGAGACTGAAATAATTGAAGGAGAGGTAGTGGAAATACAGATTGACAGACCAGCTACAGGAACGGTAAGATATTTTGGTGTTTTGATAGTTTTATAAAATGTTATATTAACAACAACTAAACATAATTTTTCTGATCAAGGGTGCCAAGGTTGGAAAGCTGACTCTCAAGACCACTGAGATGGAGACAATATATGACTTGGGCAATAAGATGATTGAAAGTCTTAGCAAGGAGAAAGTTCAAGCGGGGTAACTTAATCCCTTTTAAACATTATGAGGATCTTCAGTAGTTGTCCACTTTTATTTAATGCATTTTATTTTACATCCATAGAGATGTTATTACAATTGACAAAGCCACTGGAAAAATAAGCAAGTTGGGCCGCTCTTTCACCCGAGCCAGAGATTATGATGCCATGGGAGCTCAGGTATGAAATGAATGCACCAATATCTGTCAGCGTTTTGGGGATGATTCATAAACCCTGCTCATCTGTGTTTTTTTTTTTTCAGACCCAGTTTGTGCAGTGTCCTGAAGGCGAGCTTCAGAAGAGGAAAGAGGTGGTTCACACAGTTTCTCTTCATGAGATCGACGTAATCAACAGCCGCACACAGGGTTTCTTAGCCCTCTTTTCAGGGGACACTGGTGAAATCAAATCTGAGGTCCGAGAACAGATTAATGCCAAAGTCTGTGAATGGAGAGAAGAGGGAAAAGCAGAAATCATCCCTGGGGTTTGTACCACATCGAAATATCTGAGTGTACAATTGAATCACAATATCACAGTATCAACGTTATATTTTTTTACTTTCAGGTGTTATTTATTGATGAGGTTCATATGCTGGACATGGAGTGCTTCTCTTTTCTCAATCGGGCTTTGGAGAGTGATTTGTCCCCAGTCCTTATTATGGCCACCAACAGAGGCATAACTCGGTAATGTTGGCTTTACGCTCATAACACAAAAGCCCTTTGGTTACTTCACAACCTACTATAAATCATCAATTGTACATTTATTCTCAGAGTTTGCTTCTGATGTTTGTTTACAATAAATGGTTAGGTAAACTCTGTCCTCACTAAAACAATGACCAAACTATCTTAAACTGCACTGTGTAACTTTTCTGGTGGAGTGTCTGTCAAATGCTATCTTCAAGGAGATCAAACCAGACACATTCACAGTCAGAATGCCTGTTTTTCTAGGTATTTCTGAGGTATAAAACAACCTGTGATTTAACAAATGTAAGGTAGAGCTGTTTAATGTCATAAAGTGGAACATTTCAGAGATGGCAGTAACATCTCCATGGAAAAAAGCATTTGATGGAGCAACCACCAGAAAAAATACATAGTGCAGTTTTAAATCCTAAATTTAGTATTTAGTTGGACCAATTCATTTTAAACCTCAAAACTGTTAACTGACTTGTGCATGGTCATTTATTTCCACAGCATCCGTGGCACAAATTACCAGAGCCCTCATGGAATTCCCATTGACCTACTGGACCGACTGCTCATCATTGCCACTTCTCCGTACAATGAGAAGGAGACGAGACAGATTCTCAAGATCCGGTAAGACTTGTATTGAAATGACAAACTCTGGTCTCTCTGTTGCTTTGTCTAAAACATGTCGCTGTGTGTTAGATGTGAAGAAGAGGATGTGGAGCTGAGCGAAGAGGCACACACTGTTCTGACCCGCATAGGCATGGAAACGTCACTGCGCTATGCAATTCAGTTGATCAGCACAGCTGGCCTGGTCTGCCGCAAACGCAAGGTAATTTTGAACAATGTTAACAAGAGCTTTTTTGGTGGAGGATCTGCTACTTCCCTACTATGACATTTAACATGTCCATTTAGCATTTATTCATTAAATGTGTTTTTGTTGCTTAAAAATACAATAATTCCTTCATTGAACAGGGGCAACTATTGACAGATGTGAATTGTAATGTATTGTAGTGCTGTCACCTGCTTGTTTCCCTTGTGATAGATAGGTTCTGTCTATGCTTTGGAACAGTCCAAGCAGGTGGAGGATGCTCCACTAGAAATGTTGAGCAGTGCAACTTTAAACTGAATTGTGGCTAAATAAAAACCAGTCAAACCAAAACTGACTACTGGTTTGTTCTCAGGGCACAGAGGTACAAGTGGAGGACATCAAACGTGTTTACTCCCTGTTTTTGGACGAGGCTCGATCATCTCAGTACATGAAGGAATATCAGGACTCTTTTCTCTTCAATGAAACGCGTAAGTTCACTCTCCACGCAGCTCTTCACTCACTCACTCATTCATTTACCACGACTTGTATTAACCTCTACTGCAAATGAATCAAATATTTATTATAACTCAAAGTGTATTAATAATGTAAGGTTTTAAATGGTTCACTATGTTTTATGCCCAGAGTAGTTATAAGGAAATGCATTTTAAACTACATGTAAAACTTGTGCTTTAGATGGAAACATGTGCCATCTTTAATATCTTTATTAATTATGTATTCCATTTATTTTACAGAATCGGGTACTATGGATACCTCGTAAGAATGCCCTGTTTTCCTCTTTTTTCATGTCATGTGCCCATTCCAATGTCAATTTGACATCAGTTTTCCCTGAACTGATTCGTAATTCTGCCTTTTTTTAATTAAATGTTTCCTACTGTAAATTTAATTAATGAAAAAAAAATCCCTCTTATTGTTGGTTCATTTGAGTGTCTTCCACCTATTTTATTAAAATAATTTTGCTTCTCAAAGAATATAATTTTATTTTTACATAGCTTTACATTTTCAACATGCATTTAAAGTTAATTTGAATAAGTAGCTTCCACGATGGATACACTTATATGGCCATGAAAATATTACTATAATAACTACATAACACAATAATTAGATCTGATTGTTGGTGTGTGTTTATATGCAAGAAGGAAATCTGAAATCTTTGAAAACACCTGGTGACATATTGAAATTAATCAATGCAACAACAGGGTGTGAACAACAAAAAAATAAATCAGATTACACAAATCATGTAATTGGTTATATAATATTTCAATAATCTGAGCTCCAGAAATCAGGAAAATTAGAATTTTGTTATGCATGTAAAGTAGAGAAAGCCGGTGTACTGCTATATGTAGGTCTATTTTGGATTTTTGCGTAAGCAAGCTTTATAAATGAAGCCCCTGACCTGTAACTTGGTCTGGTTTGGGCTCCATGAAGATAGAAAGGTTTAATGCCATACTGTGAAACATTCCAGACAAAGCAATAATACCTCCATGGAAAAAAGCATTTGACAGACCCTCCACCAGAAAAGTTAGACAATGCACACAATTTTTTTTATTATTATTATTATTATTAATAATAATAATAATAGTATTTTTTTTTTTAATTTATTTATTGCAAATGTGTTCACTTCATTACAACTGCTACTGGATGAAAACAAAACAAACAAACAAAAAAGTCCATATCACAAAATCCCTCCAGTAAACATTGTTAGAAGTTCAATAGTCTGATCATTTCCATATTTAGCTCGGACTTTAAAAACCATTTAAATACTGAAACGCCATTGTGTGTGTGTGTGCGCGTGTGTGTGTGTGTGTTGTTGTAGTTAGCGGTTAATGCTGCGAAACACCTCATTAACAGCTGGGGGTAGAGCGGCAGAGTCATCTGAAAGAACTCCAAGTTAGAAGTTAATGGAACTTTAAAATATGCTAATGTATGTCTGCTAATCGGCTAATGTTTGCTGGTTCACGTTATGTTTAGCACAGACTGGAATGCATTAAGTGTACGGCAAGCCACGAGGACAAATCACGTTCTTGTAATTCTCACTTTGAACACGGGAGGGCAGTCTTCAATCACGAGAAATACTTATTGAGGGTCAGATCCTGCTCTATTTTGCAATGTCATGTTTTATAACTTGCTCCTTACCTCAGGTCAGTCGACTTTACGGAGTTGGATAATGTCAAAATTAACACGAGGAGCAATGTTTGGGGAGAGTACACGTTTTTAAGGACCCTGTGAAGAAGAGATGATGTATCTCAAGGGGTAAACCAAAATTTGTTTCATCAGATTTTTTATTTTAAATGCCATTGAATTTCTGAACACTGAAAAAAAAAAAAAACATGTCTGAATCATTTTATTCTGAATGGTGGCTGATGAAATTTGAAGTGTACATTTTCCAAGTGGCGTTTAAAATCACCTTTTAAATATTCAGCACACATATTTTCAAGCCTTCAAATTCAACAGTCAAAATTCAAAGTGTAAAATTTGCAGTGAAAAATTGCAGAAAAGATTGAAGATGCTAAGACAGAAGCAATTGATCCAGGGTGATCCAATCTAACTTCCCCTACGTTCGATGATTTTCCAACTCCCACTTGGACCTCAGATTGGATGTCACGTCCGAGCTTGAGACGTATTATTATGTTTCACGTGTTGGACTGAGAGATTAGTGTGTCGCCTCACCACAACACCGACTGTCACACCCACAGTGACACAGAGGTGGTAAAGTACTGCAGTGATACGAGTGACCGAGATTGTCATTTAAACTACCAAAGTGTCCAAACACATTGAAAACACTTCATATTTACAGGTCACAGAGGGCAAATCCTTGCTCGGTCTAATTTTGTGGAAACCCTACGTTTTGGGGTAAACAATAAGAATTAGGCCGCTGTCGCGGCCCACGGGCACTGCCACTGATGATGATGATGATGATGATAATAATATAATACATCTTTATTCATAACACACTTTTAAAAACAAGGTTTACAAAGTGCTGCACAAGCAGCAATGAACAATAAAGAAAGCATAAAATATAGCATCCAGAAGGCATACAAAAACAGACAATGATGCAAACAATCCAATAAATTATAATAAAATAAAAACAATAAAAATAAATAGAATACTAATAAATAAGTATGAATAAGGATAAATAAGGAATAAAATCAAGCAAAAAACAGTTAAAGGAAGGCACACTGATAAAAATGTGTTTTAAGAAGTGATTTAAAAATGCTACTGATGGTTTGAGACTTGTTTCCTCAGGCAGGTCATTCCAAAGCCGAGATGCCCGGACTGAAAAGGCTCCATCAGCCTTCATCCGGAGCCTGGACTTTGGAACAGCCACAGGGACCTGCCTGAGGATCTAAGGCTGCGGGAGGCTCGCGTGGCGTTAAAAGTTCTGAAATGTAACTTGGTGCAAGACCTAAACAAGCTTTAAAAGTGATCAGTAAAATCTTAAATTCAATTCTAAAACACACAGGCAGCCAAGGAAGGGAAGTAAATCAAGGGTTATGTGTTGATGTCTGTGAAACCAGGGGTTCTTAAAGTATAAAGAAGTGTACGTTACCCATAGCGTTTGGCTCCGGTCAAAGGAAGCTCAGCGAGGCTAGCGGTTACAGGGGAGAATTTGGAGCCGAGTTCCATATTAAGAATAGGAATTTATTTATAGACAAAAAAGTGAAATAAAATGTAGTGCGGGTTAATACGAACATTATTAGACCAAAATGACGAGCAGCAGTTACAGAGAGAGGGTGACAATTTTTCACTGTAAAGTGAACTAGAACCAGAATCAATGGAGCCTGAAGCGCTCCCATGCTCACTTCCTATTTGAAAAGTGGCATCTGTGGCTACAATACAACTTACCAAAACCAAGTATGGAGTTTGTGAAAAATGCACAAAATTGTAAAGCATCTTGAGCATCTGGAAAATAGTCATATAAGAATTATTGAGATATTATCATTGTTTAAAGTAATAAAATGTGATAAACAGAATAAACCAGTGGGTTTCAATAGGTCAGGCGCACCTCCCCAGGGAGGCTCCAGAGAGCCTGGGGAGGCTTGACACAGGCGGACTAAACTAGGAGGACTAAACCAGGACTAAACTAGGACTAAGCCAGAACTGAACCAAGACTGAGTGTCAGGATGAACCCGGGGGTGTGCTTGTGTAGACCGTCGCAGGACCGGAGGCGAAAGGATTGGTGCAGAGCTATGTGCCTCACAATCGGGCTTTGTGGACACTCTGCGCCGTGAGCTTGGGGTAGGGCACTGTTATCTCGTGGGCCTCCCATGGGTCCTGATGCAAAACAGTGCAGTGCGGGACACATTTTGAAAGTGGGAATGGGACTGCACACTGCGGGAGCGGGCGGGTGGGATGATAAACTGCAGTCCTGCAAACTAAATATGAATGTAAAGCAAAATATACAAATGATTCATGTAAGCCCATCATACATCATTTGTGCTGGATATTTTATTTGGCATTAATACAAATATTTTAAGTGGTCTAAACTCACGCACATTTTGGACAATTCCTTTCCCTTCTCCATGTTTGATAGAGGTTAAAAAAGATGGGAATCTTGCTGGATTTGTGGGCGGGAGCAGGACAAAATATCGCAGGTGCAGGCGGGAGTGGGACTGCACAATGCAGCTGTGGGCAGGAGTGGGACTGAAATTTCTGTCCAGTGCAGATCTCTAGCTCGGGGTTCTCCCTCTCTCTCTCAAGTCCTGGTTTAGTCCTGTTTAGTCCTGGTTTAGTCCTGGTTTAGTCCTGATTCAGTCCTGATTAGTCCTGGTTTAGTCCTGTTTAGTCCTGGTTTAGTCCTGGGTAGTCCTGTTTAGTCCTGGTTTAGTCCTGGTTTATTCCTGTTTAGTCCTGGTTTAGTCCTAATTTAGTCCTGTTTAGTCCTGGTTTAGTCCTGATTAGTCCTGGTTTAGTCCTGGGTAGTCCTGTTTAGTCCTGGTTTAGTCCTGTTTAGTCCTGGTTTATTCCTGTTTAGTCCTAATTTAGTCCTGTTTAGTCCTATTTTAGTCCTGATTAGTCCTGGTTTAGTCCTGTTTAGTCCTTTTAGTCCTGATTAGTCCTGTTTAGTCCTGGTTTAGTCCTGGTTTAGTCCTGATTAGTCCTGTTTAGTCCTGGTTTAGTCCTGTTTAGTCCTGTTTAGTCCTGTTTAGTCCTGTTTAGTCCTGTTTAGTCCTGGTTTAGTCCTGTTTAGTCCTGATTAGTCCTGTTTAGTCCTGGTTTAGTCCTGTTTAGTCCTGGTTTAGTCCTGTTTAGTCCTGTTTAGTTTCCTTGGTAGTCCTGTTTAGTCCTGGTTTAGTCCTGTTTAGTCCTAGTCCTGTTTAGTCCTAGTTTAGTCCTGTTTAGTCCTGGTTTAGTCCTGTTTAGTCCTTTTAGTCCTAGTTTAGTCCTGGTTTAGTCCTGGTTTAGTCCTGTTTAGTCCTGTTTAGTCCTGTTTAGTCCTGTTTAGTCCTGGTTTAGTCCTGTTTAGTCCTGGTTTAGTCCTGTTTAGTCCTGTTTAGTCCTGTTTAGTCCTGTTTAGTCCTGTTTAGTCCTGGTTTAGTCCTGTTTAGTCCTGGTTTAGTCCTGTTTAGTCCTGTTTAGTCCTGGTTTAGTCCTGTTTAGTCCTGGTTTAGTCCTGATTAGTCCTGTTTAGTCCTGTTTAGTCCTGTTTAGTCCTGGTTTAGTCCTGATTAGTCCTGTTTAGTCCTGGTTTAGTCCTGTTTAGTCCTGGTTTAGTCCTGGTTTAGTCCTGGTTTAGTTATGGGTAGTCCTGTTTAGTCCTGTTTAGTCCTGGTTTAGTCCTGTTTAGTCCTGGTTTAGTCCTGTTTAGTCCTGATTAGTCCTGTTTAGTCCTGTTTAGTAGTCCTGTTTGTTTAGTCCTTTTAGTCCTGTTTATTTAGTCCTGGTTTAGTCCTGTTTAGTCCTGTTTATTAGTCCTGGTTTAGTCCTTGTTTAGTCCTGGTTTAGTCCTTTAGTCCTGTTTAGTCCTGGTTTAGG